CTGTTCGCATAGCTGCCTGGCTGCTGGCCGCCATCTTGCTGCCAGTTAATTTGCATATCTTGGCCCTACTCTGTGAGTGACAGGGGGATTAGCCAATGGGAAGGGTAGTGGTCGTATGCCAATTACCATGTTTCTCTTTTATTAGTGTAGATATTTATATTAAAAAATAAAAAAATAATGAATAGTGGCCAAGAAGATAAAATGGACTTTAGTTTGAAAAAAACAAAGTACTTTGGGACAAAGTAATTTGATATTGAAGAAAGAGAATTAACAAAAGATCTAAAAGTATATCTTATCTTAGTATATATATACTACATACATATATATGGTGTGTGTATATCTGTATCTAAATCTATCTAATAATCTATAATTATATCTAGAGAGAGGGGAGGCAGAGACAGAGATTCCCCAAAGCATTTTAACTTTCTATTTTTATTTTAATCTTCACACAAGGATATGTTTTACTGATTTTAGAGAGAGGGGGAGGGAGAGAGAGAAAAAAAATCCATGTATGAGAGAAACATCAACATTTGCCTTCCATACTCCCCCTCACTGGGAATTGAACCCACCATTTAGGTATGTGCTCTGAGCGGCAATTGAACCAGCAACTTTTCAGGGATGATTCTCCAACCAACTGATCCATACTGTCCAGGCCTCCTAATTTTTTATGCTGATATTGTCTTTAGGAAAAAGCTCCAACATGCACATGCCAGCACCCAGATTTGTGGGTGTTTCTCAGAATGTCTTTTAGTATGCTGTTGAAAAAAATATCTCACTATGTTTTCCATGTGCCCTAGACTCTGATGAATCACCCGTGGCCAGAGAAAGGAATGTGATTGTGCACACAAATCCAGACCCTTCCAACACTGTCAATAGGAGGTCTGGAACCAGGGACTCTGAGTGCCAAACTGAGGACATTTTGATTGCTGCTCCATCCAGAAGGAGAATCAGAGCTCAAAGGGGTCAAAGTATTGCAGCTTCTCTTTCACATTCGGCAGGCAACATTTCTGCATTGGCAGACAAAGGTGATGCCATGTTTACAACTGCAGTAAATAGCCGTACAAGATCTCGGAGTCTTCCCCGAGAGGGCAATAGAGGTGGAGATGGTGAGCCCAAAGTTGGTCTTAAACCCTCAGCATATGAAGAGGGAGAGCCTTTTGTGGGTGATCAAGAAAGAATCCCTAATGATTGCAGTGAGGCCCCCAGCAGCCCAAGTGCCCAGGAACACCAGCCTGCTTTGGATCTGGCCTGTTCTCAACATCTCCACAGCCCCCAGCACAAGTTAAGTGAGAGAGGGAGGTCACGTCTGTCCCGAATGGCTGCTGACTCTGGAAGTTGTGACATCTCCTCCAACTCAGACACCTTTGGGAGCCCCATCCACTGCATCTCCACGGCTGGTGTCCTCCTCAGCAGCCACATGGACCAGAAAGACGACCACCAGTCATCCAGTGGCAACTGGAGTGGGAGCAGCTCCACATGCCCCTCACAGACCTCAGAGACAATCCCTCCTGCAGCTTCTCCCCCCCTCACTGGTTCTTCACACTGTGATTCAGAGTTGTCACTAAACACAGCCCCTCATGCTAATGAGGATGCCAGTGTCTTCGTGACAGAGCAGTACAATGACCACTTGGATAAAGTGAGAGGCCACCGGGCAAACTCCTTTACCTCCACTGTGGCAGATCTCCTGGATGACCCCAATAATAGCAACACAAGTGACAGTGAGTGGAATTACCTACACCACCATCATGATGCCTCCTGCCACCATGATTTTAGTCCTGAGCGCCCCAAGGCAGACAGCTTGGGATGTCCAAGCTTCACAAGCATGGCCACATATGACAGCTTTCTGGAAAAGTCTCCATCAGACAAAGCTGACACTAGCTCTCACTTTTCAGTGGATACAGAAGGATACTATACCTCCATGCACTTTGACTGTGGTCTCAAAAGTAGTAAGAATTATGTCTGCCACTATGCAGCCCTGAGCCCAGAGAATGGCCAGGGCATTGGAGCTCCTCCTACTCTTCCAGACTGTGCCTGGCAGGACTACTTAGATCACAGGAGGCAGGGGAGACCAAGCATCTCTTTCAGGAAACCAAAGGCAAAGCCGACCCCACCTAAAAGGAGCTCATCATTGAGGAAATTCGATGGAAATGCAGACATTTCTGAAAAGAAAGAACCAAAGATTAGCAGTGGCCAGTTCCTGCCTCACAGTTCCAGGGAAATGAAGTTGCCTCTTGATTTCTCCAACACGCCTTCTCAAATGGAAAATACCAATATTTCCACCAAGCAAGAACCTTCCTGGATTAACCAGGATGAACATGGTAGTAAAGAACCTCAGTTAGACACTTCAGATATTCCACCATTCAAAGATGAAGGTGCTGAATCAACTCACTATGCAGACCTCTGGCTTCTAAATGACTTGAAAACAAATGATCCCTACAGATCTTTATCTAATTCAAGCACTGCTACGGGTACCACAGTTATTGAATGCATCAAATCTCCAGAGAGCTCTGAATCCCAAACATCCCAGTCAGAATCAAGAGCCACGACTCCATCCCTTCCTTCTGTTGACAATGAGTTTAAACTGGCTTCACCAGAAAAGTTGGCTGGCTTGGCATCTCCATCAAGTGGCTACTCAAGCCAGAATTGTCTCCTGGAGGTAGCAAAAGAAAACCGAAAGTCCCAGAAAGGAAATCCTCACTACAGCAACCTTCTTTAAAAGATGGAGCTCTATCACTAAGTAAAGACCTTGAACTTCCAATTATACCTCCTACCCATCTTGACCTAAGTGCTCTTCATGTCTTGAATAAACCATTCCACCACCGTAACCCATTGCATGTTTTTAGTCATAATAAGCAGAATACAGTAGGGGAAACACTGAGGTCAAATCCTCCACCATCCCTTGCAATTACACCAACAGTCCTGAGATCTGTTAACCTTAGGTCCATCAGCAAGTCTGAAGAAATTAAGCAAAAAGAAGGCAATAATATGGAACACCCCTACTTAGAGCAAAGCACTCTCACAATGGCTGCTCTATCTCCAAGTAAGATTAGGCCACATACAGCTAAGAAATCAATATCACGTCAGTACTCCACTGAAGACACCATATTGTCCTTTTTTGACTCCTCTTCAGTTGAGATGGGACCAGATAAACTACAGTTAGGAAAAAAACATGCTTTCGATGTAAAGAATCATTGTGATCCAGAAACAGTAACCTCAGCTGGTAGCAATCTTCTAGATTCAAGTGCCATAAAAGACCAAATACATATGGAGAGTGAGCCTATTCCAGAAAACACACCAAGTAAAAATTGTGACTTTCCCAAAGAAGGATTTCAAAGGGTCTCTGCTGCTCGCTCAAATGATTTGGATGGTAAAATACTACAATATGGAGCTGATCCAGATGGAATCCTTGCACAGGTCCAGAAGGCATCCTCTGTAGAGCAAGAGGAAGTTGTACATCCTGAGTCCGTGGATGTGCTTACATCTCAATCAAATTCACCAACTAGAGCCACAGACATAAGCAATCAACTTAAGCATCAACTTGGGATGAGCCGCTACCATGACAAAGTGCCTGGGAATATCAGCTATGAAGCAGAGCTATCAACTGTAAATTCATGCCCTGAAAAATGTTCAGAGCAGGAAAATATTGCTTCAGGTATTTCAGCCAAAAGTGCCTCTGATAACAGCGGAGCAGAGGAGACCCAAGGAAGTATGGATGAGGTTTCATTGAAAGGTTAGTTTGTCCCTACGAAAAGGAGTCTCATGGTACTTCCTGAATTTTTTCTTTCTTACATTCCCCATAATGTGGTACAGCCCTGTGTGTTGGGATCCCTCCATTATTTTTTTCCCTTATTTTTAAATATATTTCTTTATTGATTTCAGAGAGGAAGGGAGGAGAGATAGAAACATCAATGATGAGAAAGAATCATTGATTGGCTGCCTCCTGCACGCCCCCCACTGGGGATTGAGCCTGCAACCCAGGCATGTGCCCTTGGCCGGAATTGAACCCAGGATCCCTCAGTCGGCAGGCTGATGCTGTATCCACTGAGCCAAGCCGTCTAGGGCTTTCTTTTCCCTTATTAAGACAATTGAGATAAAAGCTTTTACTATTGATGGATTAAGGAGTGACAGATATAGCTCTCATTTTAAAAATGTCAGTAAAGTTATTTTTTCCTTGAGTCAGTGAAGCACAGCAGTATGCGGTAACTTTCTCCTAAAGATGCTTTTGTTTTTAATTTAAGAATCGTCACCAAGTGATGACTCTATGATTTCACCACTTAATGAAGACTCTCAGACTGAAGTGGAAGGTGTGCTTGTATCTCCAAACAAACCTCGAACAACTGAGGATTTATTTGCAGTCATTCACAGGTGAGACAACAATATGAAAGGTTTTGCTTCTTATGGTACTTCTCATCAAATGCAAATAATGGGAAAGCCTTGTGTAGTTGCAGTGCATTTAACAATAACAAAAAACCCCACTAAATCCAGCAAAGAATCGCTTCTCGGCCTTTTGGCTAAGATCAAGTGTAAATCCAGCAAAGAAATATTTTTCCAAATCAAATTGATAGACTTGTATTTAAGTTGGGAAATATGAGTCTTTTTATATCGTTAGATTGACTTCAATTGAGAGACTCTCATAAATGCTGAGGAAAGGTGTTTTTGTTTGTTTGTTTGTTTTCCCTAGGAAAGATATTCTGGAACAAGTTTTTATTTGAAAACTATTTGTGGCTAAGTAACTTAGAGTGAAATCTGAAACTCTAGTGCAATCTCTGGTTTTAAATAATATCTTTTCTAAAAAATATGCTCAAAGCTGTAATCCTATATAAACAGAGATAAATTGTAAGTTAATGCACTAAACAGAGTCCCAAATTTGAGACAACAGTGTATTAAAACCTACTCATATCATAGTTCAGAACAACTAACCACTGTTCCCTTTTTCCCTCTCTTCCTAAAACTTAAATTTCTTTAATAACACTGGCCTTCTCTAAAATGAGTGCTCCATATTCCCTGAACAGGGGACGTCCTCTAGGCTGCTTTTTAGGGCAGTGTTGTGTCCATGCTGCCCTTTCAAATTCTCTCGTCCTTCCCCTGCATCCTTGTGGTCAGTGCCCATATTGGCAAGAATACTTACAACCTGTGACTGAAGAACAGAACAGGAACTAACCTTTGGAAACTGAACCAATATCAGACTGAGCTACCCAATCATAGTGTGCCTACTCCTTTCATTACTGACTACTTTCTCCCACTAGGCCTCAGTGACTTATATGGGATTCCCAAGGGAAAAATCTTGGGGACTATCTTTTCTACTTCATGAAGTAATACTTTTTGAAGCAAGTTGTTGCAAGCAGCTTACCATTGTATCACCCAGAATTCTACTTTTTTAAGGGAACTTGGGTTTTCTCTTGGTGTGATTCTCTCATAAAGAAGGAGCCAACTCTTTAACAACTTTTTGAAAGGAGTCAATCAGAAATGCCTTCTGTGTATATCCTAGCAGGCATACTTCTCCATTCAGAGTGTGAAGAGTCATTAGTTTATTTTTCTTTGGCCCTGTGTGTAGTCTAAGCTCCAATTATATTCCTCTCACCCCACTTTATCTTCAACCTTAGGACAAGTTACTAAGATGCTATGTAAGTTAAAGAGCCAAACTCTTACCCCAAAGAACCAAATGCTAGTGTCTGGAATAGTAGACATAAAGTAAGTAGTGGAGTAAAAAAGACCTGGCATTGAATCCCAGTGCTGCCACTTCTTAGCCAGTCTTGAGTCAGTTAAAACCTCTGTACTTATCTATTCCCTTATTGGAAATGGAGAGACTTAGAGTTCACATTCTCAGTCTTGATGATAAAATAACATTTTAGTATCTAGAATATAATAGATGCTAAAATAAATGTTAGCTTGAAACTCCTACCCTATTGGAGTACTGGACACTGGCATACACAAGATAACAACCACAAAGGTTTCAGTGAACCCAAATAAGGCTGGTCTCTAATTGCAAAACTGACATTTTCTCTACCCTATGGATTTCTAAAATACTTACCAATGAGCTCAGTCATGCTGAAGATTCACAGAATGTACACTGGTCTGCTTATCAAGATAAATATGATGGGTACCTAGGTTTGGTAGACTTACTAAGTTTTTTAAATCTAGGTTAGCATTTGTTTAGTATGTATGTATGTATGTATGTGCAGCACAGTGACAAGAAGAATTTTGTGTTGTTTTTTTGAAGGGAAAGTATTTTTTGAATATTTCCTTGTTCTTCTTGCGAATGCAATGCAATTCAAACTTGAAAGAAATATTTAACACAGAAATAGAAATCCAGTCATTCTAAGATAACTGCTATTAAATTTGGAGTCTATTCCTTCATATTTTCCCATGTATAATAAACACATATTATATTCTAACTTGTGTATTTTATATTTTTTCTTTCTTTTAAAATATATTTTATTGATTTCATAAAGGAAGGGAGAGAGGGAGAGAGAGAGAGAGAGAGAGAGAGAGAGAGAGAGAGAGAG